TCATTTATTACACCATCAATTAAACAATTTATCTATGGGATTGATGTAGCTGAATCAAGATTATGGTTTGATGATTTTATAATTATTTATTTGATTTTTCCGCATATATTTAATTGTATCATGATTTTAATGCTTTCAATTGCCTGATCAACAATTGGATGATTTGAAGCTAATCAATTCCGACGCTCGAGAGAGTGGGAATTTAGGCTGATCATAAAAGTGATACAACATCGAATTTATAGGTTTCGAGATAAAGTATAAATCCGTGAAGCTTACTCCATAAAAAGAATCGGACCTTTATTAAATTCTTAATTTTCAATTTTGAACAGAGATGTTAGAATTGGAATCTAGGGTTAATTTCTAATCGGTGCTCGAGAGAGGGGGTTAGAAATACATTAGGATTCTTGCTTTTAAATTTGAGAAAATTAATTGGAATAATTTGAATTTGTTGAATCATAATTGAAAGTTAGGTGAAATCAATCCCTAGGCCCTCTTATTTAATAATTTGTATTCCTCAAATTTGTCACATCCAATCACGTTAGCTTAGTTTAAATCGTTCATTCATAAAACATCAATTCAATCATACATTCATCTAAATAAAGTAGAAATTACATAATTATAGTACTTAGTGAAGATTAAATACAATCCATATGGATTCGACACTCTTACTTCAATACTATATTACAAAACTTGACACCGTACACTTGCGGTTAAACCACGTTACATAAATCCCTTGGCAATACTTTTTTTTGTCATTTTGAGAAAATGTGTCTTAAAATATCAAAGTGGAAAACGTGTTTACTTGTAAATTTTGGGAATAAAGTGATTTTTTTTTGTTACTGTTCACGAAATATATATATATATATAATTTTTTCTCAAAATAGAAATTTCTAAGAATCATAATTTTCTTAAAATTATTGTTTTTCGTCTTAATGATTTGAATAACACGCAATTGAAAAAGCTTCCAAGTAAGGAGGGGGCTCACAAGCGGACCGCTTAAATTCCAAGCTGGCCTTAGACAGTTTAGGTCTTTTTGACAAAACCTTTCAGTCTTGTAGATACGCAAATCAAAAAAATTCAAAAAATAACCCCCATTTTTTTTATACACTATACAATGTGGACATGCCTTTTTTTACACACATGGATACAAATACGTGCAACATACTCACACAGGCAAAAAGATTACAATTTGAAATGTCAAATCATCTTTAAAACATCTTAATATCAAATATATATTAAAAAAAAAAATTTCATACCTTGTATCTCACTGTGGGCCAACCAGGACAAATGAAAGAAAACAATTTGCAAGGTGTCAGAAGTAAATGAATAAACGGCCACCTCACTGTATTGCAAAAATAAAGTACCCTGACAGAAGCATAAATTCTCTCTTTTTTCTTTGTACTTTTCACGTGAACAGCATACCATTTTCTTTAAGAATTCATTATTACTGTTCACGGATGAACAATCACCAAATTTTTTTTTGGTACTGTTTTTACGTGATAGTGAATAGTACCGAGCACTGTTCACATGAACAGTGCGGGTTACTGTTCACGAGAATTATTATTATTAATATTATTTTTTAAAAAGTCTACAAGAAGGTGAAACCATGCTCCAATACCATACTGTAACGCCCCAATTTTACTATAAACACTGTAACGTTACGAAAAACTCACTTTTCCTTAAGTTAAATGCGGAAATATAAAAATAGAATTCTTTAGTAAACAATAACTGCAATATTTATAAATCTAAATTTGAAAACATGAAAATCGTATCTAAACATAAATATAAACTTTTAGCAAATTCAAATAACACATCCTGAATAAATTAAACTAACTGATAAATTTTAAAAACGGCAAACTTATTTCTTTTTCTATATTCTTTATCCACTTGGCAGCGCGCATAACCAATTCGCCACTGTTCCAATCGACCCGATCTAACCTGTAAAATTAATGTAAGAGTGAGTATTTAAAAATACTCAATAAGATACGTGCAATTTTCATATACTATTACATAACAAATAAATTATACACTTCATACCGCTCTTCTCTTATGGAGTATATCGGCGATCAAACGACACGCCCATCTTAAATCCTCTTAAATTCCCGTAGAAATATCATATCTCTTTCTCTAGAACTCGAAAGTCCACTAGTAATCCATGCATATTAATTGTATATAGGAGCATAAGGAAAATTAAAACACTTTGCACATAAATGTATCTTACCTCGTTTAAAAAATCTGAAACACGTTGAAAATCTTTCATCCGTCTTGAAAGTACGTGATTAAAATATTTGATATTTCCAAGCTATTCTCTCTCTTCCTTCACTCTCTCTCTCCCTCTCTTCCTTCTCTCTCTCTTTTTCTTTCGTCTCTCTCTTTCACGTGTGGATACTTTTGGTGTAGTAAAATATGAGATCCTTGCCTAGTATTTATAGTAATAAAAAGTGGTTGAGTTATTCTAAAAAACATGTAGCATGAGTCGGGATAAGGTTGAGTTTAATTAGTAGAATTAGATTGAATCACCAAAGTTTAGCTTAATCATACTAAGGATTAATATTAACGACTAACATTTATCATAATCAACTATTAAAACTAATCTAAATTACCAGCCAACCATCATAAATAACCTGATCAATTCCAGATTTATCTTTATCAAAATATAACCCATTCATCTCTACACACACGTGGTTGGATTCAAAGTCAAAGCAAAGAAGTCTATTTAAAATAAAACTACATCATCTATAACAACCTACCCTTGTACTATGCCAGGAAAATTGCCCTTACATTGTACTTCATAAATCATTCAACTCTAAAAGGAAGGCTATTTCTATCTCCATCAAGTCATGATAAATTAAGAAATACACCTCTCTTTCTCCAACAAATAGCTCACATGGGATGGAAGAATTTAAAATGAGTAATAACCTAATAAATTATAAATTTAGGCAAATCTTTCAATCTCAATAACATGGACATAATTTATTCAAAATAATTATTTCTCGAGTCCAATATGCATTATTTAATATGAGCTACATAATGAGCCCAACATCGATATACTTATACTTGCTCTATCAAAATTTAATTATTTGACTCAAAATATAAGAATTTAAAATATATTACCTCTTAGTCCCTCAACTTTTGAAACCATAAATTATTATATATATTTATTCTGAAATTTTTGGGGTGTTACATATAGGTTTCGAGAGAAAGTATAAATCTGTGAAGACTCCATAAAAGAATCGGACCTTTGTTAAATTCTTGATTTTCAATTTTGAACAGAGATGTTAGAATTGGGATCTAGGGTTAATTTCTAATCGGTGCTCGAGAGATGGGATTAGAAATACATTAGGATTCTTGCTTTTAAATATGGGAAAATTAATTGGAATAATTTGAATTCGTTGAATCATAATTGAAAGTTAGGTGAAATCAATCCCTAGGCCCTCTCATTTGATAATTTGTATTCCTCAAAATTTTCACATCGAATCACATTAGTTTAGTTTAAATCGTTCATTCATAAAACATCAATTCAATCATACATTCATCTAAATAAAGTAGAAATTGCATAATTATAGTACTCAGTGAAGATTAAATACAATCCATGTGGGTTCGACACTCTTACTTCAATACTATATTACAAAACTTGACACCGTACATTTGCGGTTAAACCACGTTGCATAAATCCCGTGGCAATACCTTTTTTTTGTCATTCTGAGAAACAGTGTCTTAAAATGTCAAAATGGAAAACATGTTTACTTGTAAATTTTGAGAATCACCCCTGCCAACCAAAACACTACTGCCATTGAGCAACCACAAATAGTTACCATCGCCAACACAACCACCACTACTATTGCCAATCAACACAACCAATCCACTGCCAATCGGAATCGCCATCACCAGTCACCACACCGCACCAACAACAACCACCACATCATATTGCACCAGTCATTGTCACCACATAGCACCAGATCAGAAAAAGCAAAAAATCCCCAAACCAGCAAATCGAAAAGAGAGATGGGTCACGATGAATGGGTCGAAAAAAATCCCGAAACCAGTAGATTGAAAAAAGCAAAACGCCACCATCAACCAAAATCATAATTGATCACAGGTACCAACACCACTGCCAAAATCACCCTCGTCGATTACCGGTACCTCCATCAACCAAAACCAAAATCGCCATCACCAAAAGTAGAGACGCTGCGTTCATAGAAGTCGAAGAAACACAAAAAACCCCCCCAAAATGCCAGTTGAAGAGAGAGAAGATGGAGACGGGCCCAAACCATAGGTCACGACGCTCTAAAGATAAAGACATCGACGTCGACAAGAGAGAAGGAAGAGACGCCAAAAGGAATGGAGAAAGAAGAATGAAGAGAGATGGGCAGACAACTTCAATTTTTTGTCTCTCCTATTTTCGCGTTTTGAGGGTTTTGTGAATAAAACAGCCAAAACGAGGATTTTACCATTTTCCGTTTTCTTCACAATTTTTTTGTTTTTGAAAACGAGAAAAAGAACACGTTTTCACCATTTTGAAAAATCGAAAATAGAAAACAACTCGAAAACAGCAAAAAGAATAGACCCTTAGTATCCTCATTCCAAGTAAGGCTAAAGTTTAGCGGCTTATTATGAAATTTACTTTGTCAAGTTAGCAAGAATGTTTGGAAATCATTGTTAACTTTAACGGCCACAATCACCAAGTCTATTATGCCCCCATTTGACCTCCATTCTTTCCAAATTTTAATGATTGGAATAATGTTTTTTGAAAAATATGTGGTTGAAAAATAATGATTTTTTTTTAATTTGCGTGTAATATTATTTTTTGAAAGACTGTGTGATTAAAAATAAGAGAGAGAAAAAGAATAAAAAAAAAATGGTTGGATGAGAGGATGACAGGGTGACCTGATTGTTGGTAAATTAAATACTGTACTTTTTTGCTTCGAGTTGAAGTTCAGTGACTTGATCGCAAACAAGTCTAAAGATCAACTCCATGGTTTCGTTTTATTTGCTTGTGGCTTAAAACGAAGCAAGGCGCCAGATAGCCATATTTTACATACGATAACGCTACTACGTTGCTCGACTGAGCACGAGAATGGCGACGGCAGCGGACTTTTGCTGCTCGGGTCTCACTTTTTCCTCCAAACTTCCAAGCCGCCAGTCTCACATCAATTCCTTCAACGTCAACCGCTCTTTAAGTTTGAATAGAAGTTGTATTCAATTCTACTGCAAAAATGAATCATCTACTAAAATTTTCAGTTTTCGTACAAGAAGACGGCGTAATTTGGGCATTTATTGCCAGGCTACAGGCACTGACCTTCAGCCCAAACGCATTCCTTCATCTTCCGACCTCGAATTCGCTGCCCGCGCTGGCAAGGACCGCCTCTCCAAGGTTAGGCGGTTACTGCTATTTGCCGATGTCTAAATTACGGATAAATTATAGATTTTATAGGTAATGTGTAAGACTATATTCTATGAATGAGTGAATACGTGTATTGATATTGTAGGTGCCAACGACGAATATAAGGAATTTCAGTATCATAGCTCATATTGATCATGGAAAATCGACTTTGGCGGACAAATTGTTGCAGTTAACGGGCACAGTGGAGAGCCGTGAAATGAAGGAGCAGTTTCTTGATAATATGGACTTGGAGAGAGAAAGAGGCATCACTATAAAATTACAGGTGATCTATATTAGTGACCACGTCAAAACTAATGAAGCATTTTAACTAGAGCTTCTTCCTGTTTTTGTTTTTATTTATTTTTTGCGTATTGTTATGGATTTCAACTGTTGTAGTGAGCGCATGTTAGATGGTATAGAACTATGAAACAGAATATGGATGAATCCCCTAAATTACCAGCTAAGTGAGTCTCTTCAGATCGGTAGAAGGACAAACTCTGCATTTGCTCACTTAGGTTGTGCTACAACCGTTGAAGTTCCTGCAGCCTGGACCTGTGCCATGGAAATAACATGGCGCAAACTCTTGTACAAAATAGTTTGGCACTGATCAAAGAGTATTTTAGATTTATTCAAGTAGTTAAGAGTTAATGGGTTAACTTATTAGTACAATAGTTGAACAATTATGATTTTATGGACTAAACTACCGTTTGGATACAATCTATAAATTCAGTTAAAGTTAAACATCGAATTTCAACAACACATTCATAACTACTTATCATTATAATCCACACATTTTATGGTCTCAGTACTATTCATCTTACTGTTCCTATTTATAAACCATTTATAAGTTTGCTAAATTGAGGCTTTACCCTAGGTGAGTATAGCTTCTGACACATCATAGTTCTAAGGGCATTGGCTTGTAATGAATAAGTTTCCTGTGACAACTGGCTCATTGAGGAGCACTCCATGTCTTGTTGAAAGCAATGATTCTCTCCTATTGAACATTATGCAGTGGGAATAACATTTCTTAACTGGATTTTCTCTTCACATCGTCATGATACTGCTTTTGTCTTTCAGTCTTATTGGGATTTGCATTTGTGATCAATTAATTTATGGATTTGCTTTAGGTTTATTATGTTAAACTCGGAACTGTTATCCGTTCTTATTGTCTTAATGTGGGCCTGCAAGCATTCCTATTGTAATAATGTTGACATCTTTTTGTTTTAGGCTGCGAGAATGCGTTTTATATATCAAAATGAACCATATTGCCTGAATCTTATTGATACCCCAGGACATGTTGACTTCTCCTATGAGGTATGTCATTGAATGGCCTAACAATTTTTGAAGTTATTATCATATGATATCTAGAAAAATACTCTGGTGGTTGTCGATGACATCTGTTAATTTACGAAGACACAAGTATTCTGAATGCTTGAAATGATTCTTACGGTAATCATCATTTTGATGATGTAACATGTGACAGTTGGGTAATTATCAGATGGAGAAGTGATAGTATATCTTATTATGTTGTGGATCATTTTCCCATGTTGTTGTTGTTGTTTTATTTTTTTGTTTTTCTTGCGAACTTCCAAGATCAGTTCTAGATAGCAAAACTGAAGAAGGAAAATCATTAGATTGGAGAAGTAAAGTCTGAAAGAGCTAGATCACTAAGAGAATTCGCCTGAGGGATGGGTTACAATTACCTTAGAAGCTAAACAGACTTCCTTTTTGTGGAAAACTTGCTATGTATGTGGAAAATTTTAGATACCTTTTTAAGGTTTTATGTAGTCTATTGTTAATTTCCTGCAGTGAGTCTGATGCCTTCTCATTTAGATCCTTCTACTAGAGGATGTGACCAGTGACCCCAATTCCAGATCTTGATACATTGCAGCTTCTGGTTCAGGTTGCACCTCATACCTGTTGCAAGCAGGGCAAGGAAATATTTGAGATAACCAGTTACATTTGCCAATGCAAAAAGAGAGAAAAATTAAAAAAGGGAGGTATTATGAGATGAAATCTAAAACTGTAGTTGGCGGCACACTTTCTGAAGGGGTAATTAATTCAGTAAGTTAATGGGCGTGTCTTGTGATGGATACGAAAACAGATTACTACAATTGTTTGAGGATTTGGAGGCCAATAGGAGATAGAAGATGAGTAAACAAGAAGGTAAATTAAGAAGAAAGGGCGATAGTGAACTTAAGAGGCTCGAATGGTCAGTTAATTATGATGACAAGGGTGGTGAATCCAAGAATGGAGTACTGGGGAGGGATGCTGGACTGTTGAAATGATACCACAAATCATTAGCTGGAATGTAAGGGGACTTAATGAAGTTGGTAAAAGGATGGGTGTTCGACATCTGCTAAGGGGCTGGGGAGCGAATCTTGTATGCTTACAAGAAACTAAGATGGAGGTCATCTCGAGGGCGGTGGTTAGTAGCTTATGGGGGGGACAGCATGTAGGGTTTCAGTTTATGGGATCATCAGGGGTTTCTAGAGGCATATTAGTCATGTGGGACACCAGAGTGCTTGAGATGGAGGAGTTGAGTGTTGGATTGTTCCTAATTTCGATGTCGTTCAGAAATATTGGGGATGGATTTCAATGGATGTTCATAGGTATTTATGGGCCTAATACTGAGGATAGTAGACGGGGTTTGTGGGATGAATTGGCTGGAATGATGGCTTGGTGGAATCTACCAACGTGTATAGAAGGTGACTTTAATGTGGTTCGATTTCCTATTGAGAGGTTGAATGGTGGGAGATTCACGAGGGCTATGGAGGATTTTTCAGACTTTATAAGGGAGAATATATTGGTGGATTTGCCTATGATTGGAGGAGATTTTACCTGGTCATCCAATCGGGATCAACCTGCTGTTTCTCATATTGACAGATTCTTGATATGTGGAGAGTAGGAGGCTAAGTATTCAGATGTCATTCAGAGAAGATTGGGGAGGGTGTACTCTGATCATTTCCCCATTATGTTAACTGGGAACAGGACGGGTGGAGGACGAAGGCCTTTTAGGTTCGAGAAAATGTGGTTGAAAGTTGAAGGTTTTAGGGAGCAAGTACAGACTTGGTGGACATCTTACGATGTCAGGGGGTGTCCTAGTTTTGTGTTGGATCAGAAGTTGAAGTCTTTGAAAAGAGATTTAAAGAAATGGAATGAGGAGGTTGTGGGCAATGTAAACTGTCGTAAAATTCAGTGTCTTTCTGAGATTGATGAGTTGGATAGGTGGGAGGAGAGTCGAAGGTTGGCTGGGGAGGAGAAGGAGAAACGTAGAGCATTAAGGGAAGAATTGGAGAGGTTGGTGGAGATGGAGGAGATTGCTTGGCGTCAGAAATCTAGGGTCAATTGATTGAAAGAAGGAGATAAATGTACTAAGTTTTTTCACAGGATCGCTAATTTTAATAGGCGCAAAAACTCGATCACAGTGTTGGAAGTGGATGGGATAACTTATGAAGAACCAATCGAAATTGGAAGCCAGTTGGTGAATTTCTATCAGAATATATATTAGGAGCAGTTTGAGTGGAGGCCAGAGTTGGAAGGTTTGGATTTTTCTACTATCACGGAGGATGATGCCGGGTGGTTAGAGCGACCTTTTGAGGAGGATGAAATCAAGGAGGTAGTGTTTAGCATGAACGAGGATAAGGCTCCTGGACCGGACGGTTTCTTGTTCTCATTTTACAAGGCCTGTTGGGAGGTGGTGCGATCGGAAATTTTGGATGTGTTCACATATTTTTTTGAACATGGCAGGTTCCAAAAAAGTTCTAATGCTACATTTGTTGTGCTGATCCCTAAGAAATCGGGAGCGACTGACATTAAGGACTTTCGCCCTATTAGCCTAATCTGTGGGGTGTATAAGATTATTGCGAAAGTCCTGACGAACAGATTAAAGGAGGTGCTCGGGAAAGTAGTGTCCAAGTTTCAGAATGTTTTCGTAAAAGGTCGCCAGATTTTGGACTCTGTGCTTATAGCGAATGAATGCATTGATTCAAGATTGCGTTTGGAACTTCCCGGGATGCTATGTAAGCTCGATATTGAGAAGGCATATGATCATGTGAACTGGGGGTTCCTTTTATATATGCTTAGGAGGTGCGGCTTCGGGGATAAGTGGTGTAAATGGATTCAATTCTGTATTTCTACTGTTTCGTTCTCAATCATGGTCAACGGAGCGCCGGAGTGTTATTTTCGGAGTAGTAGAGGATTGCGGCAAGGAGATCCACTATCCCCATTGCCTTTTGTTATTGTGATGGAGGCTTTCAGTAGGATGTTTGAAAGAGCTGTGGGAGAGGGTTTGGTAAGGGGCTTTAGGGTTGGCCAATTGCAGGTGTCTCATTTGCTATTTGCAGATGACACCTTGATCTTCTGTGATGCGGATGATGAACAATTCAGGAACCTGCGTCGTTTGCTCCTATATTTTGAAGCGGTGTCTGGATTAAAAATCAATTTGGGGAAATCTGAGGTTATTCCAGTTGGGGAGGTCACTAACGTGGAGGAGTTGGCTGGCATATTGGGATGCAGGATTGCATAATTGCCCATGTTATATTTAGGCCTCCCGCTAGGGGTACGGTTTAAAAGTACACATATCTGGAATGGTATTATGGAAAGAATGGAGAGGAGGTTAGCAGGGTGGAAGCGTATGTATCTTTCTAAGGGAGGCCGACTTACCCTTATTAAATCCACTCTCTCAAATCTCCCCACTTACTTTTTGTCATTGTTTCCTATTCCGGTTGCAGTGGCAAATAGATTAGAGAGATTTCAAAGAGAATTCTTGTGGGCAGGGTTAGGGGAAGAGAGGAAAATGCATTTGGTTAATTGGGGTACTATTTGTTTGCCTATGAGGATGGGGATGCTTGGAGTGAGGAGCCTTATTTTGTTTAATAAGGCTTTATTAGGCAAGTGGTTGTGGCGATTTGGAGTGGAGAGGGAGAGCTTTTGGAGAGAAATCATTGGGGCAAAGTATGGTGTGATGGAGGGGGGTTGGTGTACGGTTGAGGGTCGTGACTCCTATGGGGTGAGTTTGTGGAGGTATATCCGACGGAGATGGAGTGATTTTAAGGACAAACTAAATTTTGTGGTGGGAAATGGCACTGATATTAGATTTTGGGATGATAGTTGGCGTGGCGATCAACTATTAAAGGAGGAATTTCCCTCATTGTACCGCATTGCGTTAGAGCCTGCTGCTATGGTAGGTGATGTACTTGACATCCATAATGGGGGCTATAGTTGGAATATTACTTTTGGGAGGGGTTTACAAGATTGGGAATTGGAAGATTATTCGTTGTTTTTGACCGCTTTGCATGAGATACAAATTCGGGTAGGAGAGGGTGATTGTAGCAGGTGGAGGTTAGGTCGAGATGGTATTTTTTCAGTCCGCTCATACTTTCAATCCCTTTTGGGATTTGTGGAGAGTTCATTACCTTGGAAGATGGTGTGGCAAAGTAAATTGCCTCCACGGGTAGCATTTCTATTGTGGACAGTTATGAGGGGGCAGGTGTCAACGGTAGATAATCTTCGACGAAAATGATTTTATGTAACCGAGTGGTGCTATATGTGCAAGAAGGATGGAGAGACGATTGATCATTTATTCATTTATTGTGATGGTGTACGTTGGCTTTGGAACAGTATTCTGGCTTCTCAATCAATGGATTGGGTGCTACCTAGGCGTATAGAAGACTTGGTGTGGGCATGGAGAAGAAAACTTCGCGATAAGGATAGCAAACTTCTATGGAATCTTATCCCGAGATGCATTATATGGTGCATATGGAGAGAACGGAACGATCGATGTTTCGAAAATTAAACAAAGACAACAGAGCAGATAAGAGAATTATTTTACTTGACTTTGCATACTTGGTTTAATGTAGTGGCTAAAAATCCTATTGTAGGGTTGCTTAATTTCTTATTGTTCCTTTCATGCTTAAAGTGATTGTATACCCCCCGTGTACTTTCTTTTAAGGAATAAAATTCTCTGACTACCTATCAAAAAAAAGATTGTGTATCCATCAAATCTATTTGATTTTGTCTCTTGTGTATCTTATCAAATCTCTTTGACTTTGTCCAGAAAGAGACATAGATCTTATCTCTCTCTCTCTCGTTATATATGTGTGTGTGTGTGTGTATTTAATATTGAAGATGGATTTTGCCCTTCCATAATTATACTAACATATTTATCAATTTTACATATATACATACATGCATACATATATACACACACACACACACACACACACACACACATATATACACATATATATGTGTGTGTGTGTGTGTTTTTTTTTTTTTAATATTGAAGATGGATTTTGGCCTTCCATAATTATACTAACATATTTATCAATTTTAAAAAGGCCTACAACAACTCTATGACTTGTATTCATTTTATCTTTGCGCTTTCTTGACAATTGTAGGTTTCTCGTTCTCTAGCCGCTTGTGAGGGAGCTCTCCTTGTTGTAGATGCCTCCCAGGTACTTATTTGCTCGCTTGTGCATTTCGATATGTTCCAAACTTTAAATAACTCTCTAGACAATCATATATAGTTTCATAGATTTTTTTCACATCATGCTATTGATGTCGGCCATTCCAAATTATGAAAACATATATCTCTTCTCTAAGAGTTAAGAGTTGTGATTTGGAGTTTATTTTGTAGGGAGTGGAAGCCCAAACACTTGCTAATGTGTATCTGGCCTTGGAAAACAATCTTGAAATCATTCCGGTAGGTTTGGTTGATTATGTTTCCATAAACATAGAATTTTGGTGATGTAAACCATGATGAAAGCCTTGTTTATTACTTGGAAGTTGTTAGATGATTTCATCTTTGAGCTTTTAGACAAGACAATTTAAAATATATGGTATTATTAGAGCTGGCAACATGTTGAGAAAATTATCCTCATCACTTTGAAGAGAATAACGCTTAGTTTGTTCTTGTATGTGTTATGTCTATTGTCTTATATCTTTATGAAATTCTATTTTGCAGATAAATCTTGCTAGGTGAAACTTGGATTTTTTAATCATTTTTTCATTTACGTCACCAACATGTGCTGTTTGATTCCATCTTACTTGAAGTGGCCAAGGTATTGCATGTGACGAACAATGAAGATTTAACTGCATGTACCATTTTTATCCTCTGCAGGTTTTAAACAAGATAGATCTTCCAGGTGCTGAGCCAGATCGTGTTTGCCGAGAGATAGAAGAGGTTAGTTTGCAGGGCCAAGGAAAAAAAAATACGATTGATTGGTGTCATTTGTATGAGTGTTGATGAGGTTTTTGTAAACTTGCTGAAAGGTATACCTTTTATATCTGAATTTACCCATCTTCTGTATAGGTTGTTGGTCTAGATTGCAGCAATGCAATTTACTGCTCTGCAAAGGTCAGATTTTTTTTCTTCACCCACCCAATATTTTTATAAATCTAAGACACATTTCTTGTAATAGAATAGGGTTTACAAAAGAGGAAATTACCAAATGTGATGATATAATGAAGTTCCATTCCTGATAGGTGGTGGGAAATACTCACCATTATTTTGTTATGTAGGAAGGAATTGGTATAACCGAAATTCTAAATGCAATTGTTCAAAGGATTCCCCCACCTCCTGCCAGCACAGACAGACCTTTGAGGGCTCTTATATTTGATAGGTATCTGATTTAGGTACAATGATCTAACTCCTTTATGTTAAAATCTCATATTTTATTTCACCTAAATAAAGTGGTCGTATTCCCTGCTATTTTCTAATCTTATCATCTCACATATCTCCTGATCTTCATTAGTAGGCATGTAAATGTCATATCTATTTTCATAAAATAAATTTTAATATTTCTGAAACATGTTATTCAAATTATATTAGGGAACACTGCTTATCTCCTATATTGAGCTTTCAAATTTCATTTATACTTTTGAAATTAACTTCCTTTCATTAATGAATCTCTTTATGTGCTACTGATTAGATTTTCTTTAAAATTCTTTTGCAGTTACTATGATGCATACCGGGGCGTCATAGTATATTTTAGAATCATTGATGGGGCTATTAAAAAAGGTGACAGAATAGTTTTCATGGCTAGTGGAAAGGTACAGATTCATGGTACTATCATCACGTCCCATTTTAATGCTGGATATTTTTTTAATCTCATTATTAAAGATATAAATATAATGAATTAATTTCTCCCTTTAGTAGCTTAAACTTTTTGATGAGGTTGTTCAACATTGTATTTGTGCCAGAGCAAACTAATACCCTGAGTTCAATTCTCACCACCACCCGATGATAAATTTCATGTGTATGCATTTGATAAAGAATTGTATTTGAAACACATATGAGGGGGTTTGTGGAAGAATTCCTACCCTCTCAAATAGCTTTTCTAGTTTGAGTTTGGTGTTAGTGGTTCAACACTTGTAATCAAGTGAATCTCTTGGAAGCCCTTTTTGTATTCCTCTGTTAATTTTTAAGCAACTACTTAACATCTAATAGTTTCTTTGGAGATTTTAGGCTATAATATGTTACTAACATTTTTATTTATGCGATAGCCCCTGTTCGACACCCATAAAATCAATACTTATTTTTAACACACATTCACGATAAAATATTTTGCAGTTAAATCCAATTTTTTTTCCTATTTTTAAACCACACATTCTCCAAAAAATCACTATTCTGAATCTCATTTTTCCCAAAAAAATCATTTTAATGGATGTCAAACAGGGGCTTATTATGCGTCTTTCTTGAAAGCTTGCATACTCACGAGCTAGCCAAACCATGGGATCATAAAATGCAGGATTATTATGCTGATGAAGTTGGAGTTTTATCTCCCAGTCAGTTGCAGGTTGATACGTTATATGCTGGAGAGGTAGAAATCTTATCTCATTTTTTCTGGTATTAAAGAATACCATACTTTTGATTGGGAACTTGTGACTATTGTTTGTTGTCTAGTTTGATTTGTAGCCTGTTGTATGCTTGTGTTGTGACCTATGGTAATAATTTTGTCAATGTTCTCTCAGTGTCTATAAAGTCCATAGCTAATTACTTTTTCTGTAAGTAATGTCAAAAGTACCTTTCTGATTTATCGAAGAAAATTTTGAAAATGATGGATTTACTACCCTCCACACAGAAAACAGGGACAAGGGATGGTTGAAATATAGCGACTAGTCCCAGCATCCCCTCAAGTCTGCAATGTTAGGGACAAACACAGAAATAGCTTCTCCTGTATTGAGCTTCATATGACAAATCAGCATAAACTAATGGATGCGTGATTCCCTCAATCTATATTTACACTCCCTCTGCATCGTTCAAATGGCATAGTCCACTGTCTTCTTTTTGGCTGTGCGTGTTGGACTTAAAGATTGTTTCTGCATGTACTTTTACCATTTTACTATTCAATTTCATATACACTTTTTTTTTGTGCATTTCATGCTTATTTACAATTTCTTCCTTTTCAGGTGGGCTATCTTTCGGCTTCCATTAGGTCTGTTGCGGATGCTAGGGTTGGTGACACCATAACACACTACACTAGAAAGGCAGAACAATCATTGCCTGGATACAAGGAGGCCACGCCGATGGTTTTCTGTGGCCTGTTTCCTGTTGATGCGGACCAGTATATCTCTATCTACCTCAGTGTTAATAGATGTACTTAATAAATAATAAAGTATTAAGAGCTTCATTTTTCGTATCATCACAATGTTTGTTTTGATTGCTATAGATTTTCCGAGTTGCGTGATGCATTAGAGAAATTACAGCTTAATGATGCTGCTCTGAAGGTAGGCGTACTTCTTGTTAATGGTTAGTTTTGTTATTTTGATTCATACCCGCGCTAGTAATCGAAAAGTGCTATAATTGCTTGAATCATTTTATATAAAAAAATTTCCATGTCTCTTGTGAACTTTTTATCTTGTTTGTTATAATAATTCGTTGATAATGCTACTTGTAGTAAATTAATAACTAAGACATGATCTGTTTCTGCAGTTGAAGACAGAATTGCATGGTCTTTATATATAATGGTTAAAACTCTGTGGGTCACTCACCCACAGTGTCATTGAACCTTTTTCCCCATTTGGATTGAGGAACTTAGAATTTGTTTCAATTGAGCGAGTCTACTCCATCTCTGTTACTTTGACTAATGAAAATGTTTCAATTGAGTCACTCCCTCCGTGTCTTTGACTAATGAAAAACCTGTCTATTTGGCAAAACTGCTAATGACACGGACTCATATCACCAGACATGTGGCAAATTAATTATGTGTTATTAACGAATTGAAATAATGGAGCTGATGGATTTAGTGCTTGTTTGGGAGGTGTTTGAATTATAAATACTTTTGGTCAAATGTACTTTTTACCCACACATTTCATAGTACCCTCAATTTCTACCCTCTTTTTACCCATATATTTTGTCGGACGACCCACTGTATAAATTAAAGTTTAACACTCCCAAACAAACTTTTAGTGACATGCGAAAGGCATAATATTGAAATTCTGAGAAAATGCTTGATTTAGCTTAGAAATTGTATGTTAGAAGTTTAAGTAACAAATATGTGTTCTATTCTGCATTTTTTTTTTGTTTCAAATTTCAATTAAATAAAATTATTTTCGGTCTTAGCAACAAACTTGCCACACCTGTGGAAAAGTGATATTTTCTTCTAAAATTAGGTTATGACGTGCTATACTAGACCTAGAAAATTTTACTTTGAATGAAATTCGGATGCTGTACCAGTGTTTCTTTTTAACATAGTAAAACAAGCATGAAGAAGCATGTGGTTTGTAATGCTTCTTGCACGTTGTACAGAAGTTCATATCCTAATCTTATGCCTACAAGGAGTTTTCTAAATCATGTTTAGTTATGATTGTTATCTATGCTGCTATTGGCTATCTTTTTGTGGTAATATTTGCCAAAATTATATGCTTAAATGAAAATGTGTTACTCCTTGAAATATGGTTTTGTAGTTTGAGCCTGAGACATCAAGTGCAATGGGATTTGGCTTTAGATGTGGGTTTCTGGGTCTTCTTCATATGGAAATTGTTCAGGTCGGAAAATTCATGTTCTTGTACTCAGTGATTGTTGTGAGTCTGCTTACCTGCTTTATCATGTCATGGTTCTTGCTCTAATAAACTTCTATTTCACAGGAAAGGCTCGAACGTGAATACAATTTGAGTCTTATAACCACAGCTCCAAGTGTCGTTTACCGGGTGAACTGTGTAAATGGCGATACTGTAATTTCTGCTTCTCCAATGCTCATAATATTTCACTAATTTGTTTTCTCTTTCTTTCTTAGATTGGTAGACTGTTTGTTAGACGTTGATATTTAATGCGACTTCATAATATAGCTATTATTCTGAGTACAAGGCATGATTAGGAGGTTTGCAATATTCATTTTTGTGGCTATTATGCGTATCATTGTGCGATTATATTGGTTATGCATAGAACCTTCAGCACTTGACTGGCTGATGCTAGCAAGCAAAAATAATACTAGCAGGCAAGGTGCCTGTTCATTAGAATGATTAAGAGTTCATATACTGGCACATCATTTCGTAGCCCATTTAGATTTTCTGTTACTGTTTATTATTTCAAGAATTTGTGTCAAACCATGGTGGGATGCAGCTTCCACCTCATCTTTTAATGGAATCTTGAGTTTTAAATCTTACAGTGAATGCTAAGTACAAAAAAATTATTAAAAAGAATTCATAAGCTCTAAGAGTACTTAAAAGCAATGCCAAATTGCCCCTAATTAAAAAAAGAGAGTAGAATTTTGTCTTTATAAATAATGCAAGAAAATATCCACGGCTGTGGATAGCGAAATTGAACTGATTAGTGGGATACAACTTTCAAATCCTTATTCCACACACAATCTTGTATGATCCAGGTTGAGTGTTCGAATCCATCCTTACTTCCTGAACCTGGAAATAGGAGGTCAATCGAAGAGCCATTTGTCAAGGTTGACACTTGAACTCTTGGTTTGTCCCAGTTGTTGGAAATTATAGTACAGTTTTTCATTTTACATTTTGAAAATGTAAAAGAATGATTCTCGTGTATACAGATTGAAATGCTTACTCCAAAAGACTACATTGGTGCGCTTATGGAGCTTGCTCAGGACCGGAGAGGAGTATTCAAAGAAATGAAGTTCATTACTGAGAATAGAGCATCAATCATTTATGAGTTACCCCTAGCTGAGGTACTCCAATCGGAGGCTAATATGCAGTTTCTATTTGCAGAGCTAATGAAGTTATAGATTCAATTTAACTGCTGTGTTACCCAAGTAAAAGTATTCTTGGTATTTTGTAGATGGTGGGGGATTTCTTCGATCAGCTGAAGTCAAGAAGTAAAGGCTATGCTAGCATGGAGTATTCCTTCATTGGGTATGGAATCTATGCATTTGAGTTTAACTTGGTGGTGTAATATGATATTTCCTTATTATAAAGGAACGATAGATTTATGCATAAAGGCCCTTTTGTTACATCTTATCCACGGTGTTCATGTGGAACTATACAATGAACACATTGCTAGTTGCTGCTTCCCAGATTAGCGATGGGTATTGGAAGCAAGTAGGAATAAGTATTGTTTTTATTGACAAACTGATGTGATTCTTTTGTTGTTGTTTAAACTATTTCTGTGTCAACCAATGAGAATACTATCACACTTTTTCTTTAATATTTGTTTTCGCATCTCATGAGATGGAACAGTTGTTCCTTCATTGGCCAATTATATCCTCATCATGGAAGTTCTTGTCATCTCTTAAACATTTTAAATTCAGAAAAATCGTTCCTTATAATTCAAATTCAAGTTAGCTGATTATTCACTTTTATCATAGTTTTAGTATTTACCATCCTTATTCACTTCTGACAGGTACAAGGAAAGTGAACTGATAAAGCTTGATATTCAAATTAGTGGCGATCCTGTGGAACCTTTATCAACTATTGTACACAAAGATAAGGTACCTATTGTCAAGAATAGACCACATACAATATTACCTTGTGACAAGCTTTATGATTGCAAATGATGTGAAATTATCAATGGTTTATTAAGAAGTGAATATCTGGTACTATTGTGGCTTATATTGTTTTTTAAAGAGGGGGACAAGAGTGTCTAAGATGGAGAGGGAACAAAGATAGAGAGATCTATAGCGGAGGCAGAAATGCTGGAACTGTATTTCAAGTTAATAGTCATAGTGTACAATTTGACCTGCGGGTCAATATACATGCTATTCTACCATGTAAAATAACTGAAGTTTTGTGTGCTTTAATTATTAGGATTTCCAAAAACTTTCTACCTAGAATCTAAGTCTCTCTACTTGCTATGGAAATGATTTTGTTTACTGTTTTGTAAAGTTCCTGTTGTTTACGAGGAACAAACATTTGATTGTGTTCTTCTTAATTTGATTGTTTACGAGGAACAAACAATTGATTTTCTTCTTAATTGTCCGACTCTTTGTCTTGTTGTCTTATCATTCATTAAATTTTTTTTAAACTTGTCGGACTTTTTAATCAACCGTTCTCTTCTTTCTTTAGTTGTCAGGAACTGTAGCTTTGTATTCATATAGGATCTATGCATGCTTTTCAATTTGTTTTCTAACGAATGTTGGAACAATATAACAACGACATGTTGTCTTTCTTAGGCATATTCTGTTGGAAGGGCTTTAACTCAAAAACTGAAGGAACTAATACCCAGACAAATGTTTAAAGTACCTATACAGGTAAGGTTTACATTTCTCTAGTCAATAAATCAGTGTTCTATACTATGGGAATGGGGATATATTGACATCAATGTCTGACAATTTCTTTTAGCCATAGTGAGATTCTATGCCTAAATGTGGAGGTTTTCTCTCTTTCCAAAAGACAAAGACGTGGAAGTAATTCCTGCATGGCTTTTCTTAATAGCAGGATGCTTCAAGGCCACGCTACTTCTGTTCTTTATAGGACACCGTATCTGGCAAGGGGGGCTAACATCCATAAGTTCTCGTGTATCCTAAGATAAATCTTTACAAGTGAAAGACTAATTCATACAGAATGGAACTTTTAAAACCAAAAAAATTAAGGGAGATGAATTCCAGTGATTCTGCTTTTTGTTTCGTTGCATGTAGAAACTACTTTTGACGAACAAACCTCCATGCATCAATCAGCCTACCAATATTAAGAGAAGATTCCAAGGGCGCTTCTTTCCATGCAGAAAAAGGAGACTTCTAATGTTTGAGTATGCCAAATAATTATTTCCATAGAAGTTCATTGAACCAACCACTCTTGAGCTTTCTGATGATCTTTTAACTTGATTACCTTTTCTTCAACATTCTTTAACCTGCAAAAGCCAATTGGTGGCACAATAGACGTACTCAGATATTCAGGACAAACATTAAAAGTTGGGATATTCCTTTCCTCTATCAAACTTTGAGCTCAGGTCACCAGAGTGGTCCAACCTGTTTGACTGAGCTCGAGCTGCACAAGCATTCTTTTTTATAGCAATTTTATGGAGTGCAGAGGAACGTTCTTTGCTGAAATCTTGAAATCATTTACCTCGGTCAATGATTGTTGCCGATTTTGCTCTAACATGTCTATTCACCTATAATACAATGAAAACCTAACTTTCCTTCAATTCCAAGAACCCTAGCCCAAATTATATGCACTCACATCCTCAAACGGGCATTAGTTTCACAACTGCTTGCTTATTATTCTATTGCATTATGTATTCTCGGCAGGCCTGCATAGGCTCCAAGGTGATTGCTAGTGAAGCATTGTCTGCAATCAGGAAAGACGTCCTGGCTAAATGCTATGGTGAGATGCTAATCCTTAATTTAGAAGATGTATGCATTGACTACGTTTCAATTCTTCATAAGAGACGACACCTGAGCCAAAGATGCTTACGCAATAGTTCATCCTCGGTCCTGTGGTGTCACCTTTCTGGGACAAGTGATTCTGTTTTATTCTGCTGCCTTGTGTTCTGATACTTCCTTTATGAGGAAGATGCTATTCCGCAAATAGTTTTATTTTTGGGATGGAAAGAAGTGATTTTCATTTTCCATGTAGGTGGGGACATCTCCAGGAAAAAGAAACTGCTTAAGAAACAGGTACCCTTTTACTTGGCTTTTTATGATCATCAGTTGGATAATCTAGATCACATCATTCTTTCCATGCATATCTATCTACTTTCAGATATTTGATTCCAGACCATAATCTGAATGCACATTTCTGTATTTCTTTATGTTTCTATTTTTCCTGTGTGCATAACAGCAAAAATGCCTCTGTATGTGTATTTGCCGTGTGAAGTCTCCAATAAGCAACATGTAATTTGTCATCCTTCTTCTCAGGCTGAAGGAAAGAAACGAATGAAGTCGATTGGTAAAGTTGATGTACCCCAAGAAGCATTTATGGCTGTATTAAAACTCGAGAAAGAGGTATTGTAATTGAATTTGTAAATAGAGAACTACATATTTTGACCTCAGTATGTTCTCGATGAAAAAGTAGTAGTATACCAGAATTGGCAAAATCATTACAATTTTTTCCCCCTTTGTATTTGTTTTTTTTTGGGATAAATAGTCAAAAACTTGAATGTTAAATCAGCTGAATCAAATTCCTCTAACTTATGAGCATGTTTTACTTATTTAATTATTTTGAAGTTCACTTTACATAGACGGTTGTCCATCACTGTGATTACAAATAACATTATTACGTTCAAAATGGTTTTCGACTCTATCTTGTCCAATCTCGATATGACATGTATTTTGAACTAGATAAATTCATACACATAATGTCATTATTTTTTCAATGACCGAGTAATTTAACTGTCATTTTAGCACCATCCTTTTTAATTGTTTTAGAACAAGAATAAGTGTCTCGTTTTTAATAAATTTAAAGTTGATTATGTAAGGTTCAAATGTTTACAAGTGGCCGCTGATAAAATAGGGTTGAAATTTTGAAAAATTTTACGTGTGCAATATGATTTTGATTTCGTAAAAATTGAGGTGTTTAGTTAGCTTTCGTTTGGCCTCCGTTAATTTTTATTTCATTATATTATATTTTTTTGTCTTCTATTTTTAACCATACAATCTTTCATAAAATAATATTACCTGTAAATCGAAATTTTTTCTTTCTTTTTAATCACTTATTTAATAAAAAAAAAAACTATTTCATCTATTTTCATTTTCACAGATGGGGCCCAGCGGGGGTTTAGTTTGTGGTGGACATTGAGTTTTAATACGTGACTAAAGTGACTGACGTAAAAATTGGCTGCAATAGCCGCTTGGACCTTACGCTTACACGTGGTTCAACTTTATTTTCAATTCACACGAGCCAACAAAAAAATAAATAGAAAAATTTGTCACAGTCTGAATCTTCTCTCACCAAATAAATAATACGAAAAGACTAAAGAAAAATGTATAGAATTACCAGATGCTGAACTGGAATATTGGATCTGGCATCCTGGATTTACAACAAAAAGTCTAATTTATTAGACCCATATATAAGTATTTTTAAAGATATTCTAATTTATATCCAAAATTCAAATCAATCGATGGCTATGATCCCATATTTAACCTTTATTTGAGCTCCGTTTTTCTATCAAAATGCGTTTTTAAATAGTGATTTGATTTCATTTTAAACACACATTTTCAAAAAAATAATATTACATGCAAATTCAAAAATTTTCTTATTTTTTAAACTCACATTCTCTATCATAACACTATTACAAAATGTATTTTTTTGAAAAAATGGGGGTCAAACAATCCTCTAATATAGGAGCCTGCTTAATCATCGGTCGGGAATGTCCTAAGGCTAAAAGTGCCTCCATAAGGGACGCTTCCAAGCGAAGACCCAAAAGGAGTGGACTTGCGAACTTGATTTTGAGTTATATAAGGTTGATTAACTTTTGGGTAAAGTGATATCAGTACTTTTGATTGCTCTACGAATTGGAGGCTTTTCAAAAACTATTTCTTATTGCTGTGTTTGGTTTGGTATACCATTCCCAAGAACCCATCATGAGCTCAAAAATAGATATATTAGCTTTATGTCTGTCACGGACTTTCCCAATATCTTTAGGACCCAATAAGCATTAGAAAGTGACATGAAAGAATTTGCTGCACAGGAGCTCTTCGGATAGGAATGAACTCAATGTTCCATCGATAGTAGAAATAGCCACGAGCACAAAAGGATCTCCTATTGAATTTCCTACTATCGAATGCGACCCACGGATCAGAAAATGCCCAAGAAGAACGTTTCCGTGGGTCTACTTTCCTTTCCGAATAACTGGCAATTATAAGACTTGGAAACGACCAAAAAAATCTTAACTAGGTGACTTTAATTAAAAACTATTACGTTGAGCTGGTAATGAGAACGATCAGTGCTCGGTTGATTGTAAATAAATTTACAATTCAGTTAACTTGTATTGTATGATATAAATATAAAATCTTGTCGATAATAATAAAAAAATAAATATCGGATTTTAAGGGAAACAAAGACAAAGAAAAAGTAAAAATGATAAATTGGCATAAAGAAGGGCCTCCTGTGTCCAGGAGATAATAAGGACTAAGATAAGAACAAAAAGGTTTTTCATATATCCGCCGCTTGTCTCATTTGGCACCAGCTTTCCGGAAACAAATATTTGAAAGAGAAGTAGAGCTAAATTGCGTCCACAGAAAACAGTGATGATTTTCATGCACACAAAACTGAAATCCCAGAAAGCATCCACTCTTCACACCTCGTTGCCACAATTATAAATCAAGATTTATCACTCTCTGTATTTCCATTCATTCACTCATTCAACTGTTTCTGTATTTTGGGATGCTTGAATGGGAGATATGTTTTAGGCGGGATATCTGAAAATGGGCAGGCGGGCAGTAGCCGCTGTAACCGCCGATTCTTCTCCTTCCTCTGGCGAATCCAGCTTCCGGGAGCTCGATGATGTTTTCTTGCAGGTCCCATTTGAGTTTATATTTTTGTGTATAAGGTTGATTGATCGTATCTTAATGTGAAATTTAGAGGCTTTAGAGAAATAATTTGGTTTTATGGCAGGAGATTTATTAAGAAAGCCATTTGCTACACCGCCTACACGCTGACGGAACAGTTAATAGTTTGAATCTAATGGGGGCACTAGTAGAATTTTATTTCTATTTTTATTTTATTTTATTTTTTTCCCGTTGTAGAGAAAGTTGGGGGAATCCTCCTAGTTAGCGCTCTGCTGTTCCCACGTCTTCTACCTTCGTACTCACTAGTGGTTACTCCCGCTCCAAAGCACCCCTTTTCCTTGTCCATTTATTATTATTATTATTATTATTATTTTTTTTTTTTTTTTTTTTAATTTATTTATCATAATTGATCTCTGTTGTATGTTATTAGATGATACTATGGTTTTAAGTGGGGATGTTGGGAGGAAGATAAACCTAGACCTAGAAAGTTGAAGTATTTTAGAAATCTGAATATATGAATCTATTAAATTTCCTTCATAGGAATAACAAGGACGGCATTGTGTTAGAGAGTGATTGTTTTACGTATTTAAGTTCAATTACGATAACAGCGGGTTTGTCGAAAATGTAATGAATAAGATTAAAGTAGTTGGACAAAATGAGAAAAAAAAGTGTTACATAAGTTCTAGGTGATTAGAAGAGAGACACCAAGTTAACAATCAAGTTCTGCAGATATTAGTCGATTGCCAGACTAATTATGCATTACAGTACTTAGTATTGGTCTGTTATAGAGCGCAATATTCACAAGATCATTTGACGGATGTAGCAGAATTAGACTTTAGGGTAGTGGTGATAGAATAAGAAATGACTGTTCAGGTCAACAAATGGAGGACAGAACAACTTAAATAGTCGGGACTTGCCTTGAATAAGCCTAAAGAAGCTTGCAGTCTAAAGATTAGATTTTTGTTGGACCTTTAGTAGACATCACATTATATCAAATGGAGTACAAAAAAGTATTAATTAGTTCATCTTTAGATTATTGGGAACACATTTCGCTTCTTGTTGTTTGTGCATATGGACACACCTATAAAATCGAGATATAAGAGTAACATGTAAACTCTCACAGTTGATTTTTTCTTATCTGCTATGCTGATTATTAAAAATTATTATTTCCATTTAATTGGTTCAGACTCAAACAAGAATATGGCTTGGAGAAGTTCTTAATACAAGATTGGATGAGGATTTGTATATTTCTGATTTGCTTCAAGATGGGGAGCTACTGTGAGTTCCTGAATTTCATTGACATTTTCTATTTTCATTTGTTAACAATCTAATTACTGCAGGTTTTCCCCCTTTTTTGTTAAATGGGCGGGTGCAATTATGAATCCTAGTTTGATGTATAAATTCACGTTTAAATTATCAGTTTCCTACATTTTGGAAACGATTATGAAAGAAAAAACTCATTTCAATGAAGTACATTCTTTTGCTTCCCTAGAAATTTATCACCTTGCATGGCAAACAGCATGCCAATAATTATTAGTGGTGCACCTGTTTGTGGGCTCCATTATAGTTCTTCATTCTTTTCTTTCAAGGACAAGATAACAATGTGGGGAAAATGTTCTAGTGCCTCAGGAAAGTATTGTCTCCCAAGATTTTTACTATTTTAAACAAAAATCTTTTTACCTTTTTGAAGCTGAAAAGGTGCAGAAATTTAAAAGGAACAGGATCTTTTAACACGCAGCAATTATTAGCCTTTGGCATGTAATATATATTCTTTATGGGGATAATGTTAACATCACGAGAAAATCCAAATACAATGGATGAATGAGTAATGATAATGCTTGATGTTGGAATTTCAACTAATTGTTGCAAAGTGGGGAAAGAATGGAAATTTGGTGGCGTGGGGAGTTTTTTCTTTCAGAACTGCATTGTGATGTAAAGAGGTTTGAATTAATAAGAGAAACACTGTGGAGACAATTTTTTGAAGAAATTCTTAGGAACTTATTCATATCTCTAACTCCAGCTAGCTAATTATGTGTAATGAAAATGGTTTGTTTTCTGTGGTTGATTGATGGAGAGAAAAGGAAAGCATCTAGAGCTGTACATAGCACATTATTAAGCATGAGATAATGTCAAGTTTTAAATTGTTTTACGAGACAATTTTTCATTGTGTTCAATGTTTTCAACTTTTTCTGATTTTTTAGGTTTGAAATTTCTAAAGTGATATGGAATTTGATGTTGGCAAAATGTGTGGAGCTTAGACATTTCAAACATAAACATGGCCCTTTTGGTTCTAAGAAGAGTATTGGGAGATACAGGCCTTACTCCAATGTTGATTTATTTTTGAAGGTAACACATCATAACCTTGCCCCCACCTCTGCATAATTTACTGATAAATAATTTTCACTTGACAGTTACAAATTGGAGCCAGAGTTATTAAAGTAATAGAAGTGCCTTTTAAATTTTTCAGTATCATTTTGAAGCCATTTATTGAACGATTTATTGTCTTGAACTTCTGGGATTTTGTAATCCTCGAAGAAAAAAGAACTGAAAATGCTCATACATTATTTCTTTCATACACAAAGTCACGTGAGTAACTTTTAGCCGCATACTATAGAAAAGAATTTTTTTTTTTTTTTTTTTTTTAAATTTAATCAACATGTTGACTATGTGTCATCAGTACTTTTTTTAAAAATCGCGTGTCGGGTGTTTGTCTTGGTGCATCATGGTACAGAATATTAAAAAAACTTGTCAGCTCATTTATTGATACAACTGTAACATCCAATACAAATTCCAAGAATTAAATCAGATTCAGAAGAGAAGTTCTATAAGAAGAGTCCTATTGTATGATGCCCACTACTGCACTACACATCATTGCATGTCCTTTCTGTCGAACCAAATGCATAACGAAGCATTGAAGAGTGCCATTCTCAAAAGATAGTTATATGCCTTGTGAACTTATTAATTCACGAAATCCTTTTTAATTGGGATGTAACAATGTAATTATTGAACTGTTCTCCTACCACTGTTGTGTGCAACTAGCCAATATGCTTGAGAAAGCAAAGAGTGAAGAGCATGAGTTCTGAATTTCTGAGGCAAATAAAATTTGCACAAATGTCCAAATCAAAGTTTTTGAATGTACTTTTGTCGAGTTTATGAAAGGACTTTGTTAGTATTTCAAACTGCAAGTAGGAGCAAGTAGTCTCCGCCAACAATTTGATATCCAATTTAACTAGAATGTTTAAAAATTGATTGCTAATATTATTGGTTCTCCCTTTTTTTGGTAGATGTGCAAAATTTTGGGATTGAATGGCATTGATCTCTTTTCACCATCAGATGTTGTCGAGAAAAGAGATATTCGGAAAGTTTGCATTTGCATAAGAGCACTCTCGAGGAAAGCCCGGGCTAAGCAACTAAGTGTAAGATGTTTTTCTTATACCCGTATCCATTTCCTGTTTATTCTAGCTAGTATTTTCATCAGTTTCCAATATTTTTACAAAATCTGTTTAGAATATTCTAGTCATGCACTAAAATCCATCAACAATTTATTTCTTGTTAGGTTCCGGACTTTGATGTGGTTATGTACACAGTAGCCATGCCCACAGATATGGTTGGAGGCATTCGAAGAAGCTTGGAATCAGCACAATGTAGCCTTTCAAGTTCATCCAGTTACAGCTCACATAAAGGATCTACAACAAAATTGAAACAGGTATGCCGACGTTTCAGTTTTCATATGATGTAATTACTCTTATTGAGAATTACTTACTGCTGTCAGCTACTTGCTACTTCATCTGTGTCACAATATTTAGCTTGTTTGACTTTGATTGGTGTTTAGTTGAGGTTTTTAACTAAATTATTTTCCAATTTTATCCTTACTCAAACAGGCGATTTCAATTTCAAAAACTCGAAGGGAAAAATAAACTGATGGGAGTTTTATATTTGCTTATATTATATGAAATTTTAATTTTGAATTTACTAATCTGCTATTGTTCTACTGCAATGTAGAAAAATCTATATGCATTGTCTGATAGAAACGACGATTGTCTCTCTGAAGAGTCAGATGAGGCGGAAAGCAGATATATGGAAGAACAGTCTTTTTCTTCATCTGCCACCAAGTTTGATGCTACTGGTGAACTACATCCAGACTTGGAAAGTTCACCACCTGGAGCCTATCCGGAAGTTGGACGATATGTGGAGAGACCAAATGTACTAAATTCAGATATTAAATGCCCATATATGGAGGAATTTGAACATGGCCCGCACGCATTAGCATGTTCATTCAAGCCCAAAAAACTGCTTTCTTCAGAAATTTTTGGAAATGATCGTCTGCTTGATATGAGGCCATCTAATTGCACCAAAAATGATAAAGTAGATATTTCTGATATCAACTTTGCCCTTGAGAATGATGATTCGGTTGTAGGAGATTCTTCTAGCATCAGTGGAGATGGAAGAAATTATATTTCAGATTACTTGGCATTTTCCGACTTGATTGTCCATACAACTGATGGTAGCAGTCCTCTTTTCTTTGATGGAGAAAACAATCTTTTTGATTTCTTCCTGAATGTTGATTCTGAAGAACTAACCTCTGAAAAAAGGTGTGCTCAAAATGGACTTCAAAGGAAATATTCTGATGACGAAGATATGGAAGTATCTTCCACCACTAGCATGAGCTCCGTGTTAGGTCGGTTGCTTAACATGGAGTTTGCCGACCAGTTTGATGCAGACGATTCTTCAACTACAAATGTTTATGTGGATGATTCTTCATCTACAAATGTTAATATAGACAATTCTCCAACGACAAATTACTCTTCTGGATCAATGGACATTGAGGCTGACAAGAAGGGTGGAAAATCGTTTGTATTGTATGAAACCCAAAACATGGACAAGTTTGGAAACCCACCACGCACTTCAGCTAGTAATTCCCCAGAACCTGAATTTATACATAAAAATCTGGGTGTTTCTACCGAATACTTATCTTCATCTCAGCACAATTGCCAACTATCCAGTCATGATGACGATACTTGTTATGCTTCTGAAAACAGAAATCAGGTGATTATCAACTAAGTTGTCACAGTATTCCTGCGAGTATCCTGTAAAAATTTACTCTTTTTCTTATTTAGGACAAAAAAGAACACAGTATGGAAGTATTGGCGGAAAATACTTCAGATGGCAATAAGAATACAAGTCCCGAACTCCCTCCAGTGAAGCATGGTCGAAAGCAACTTCTGAAAACAGTTTTTAAAGGCACGGCCCTTGTTGGTGTGTTATTTTTCTTGTTGCACATCAGGTATGTATTCTTTTGTCTGTTCGATTATGACCATAATGTTATCTTTGTGAACGTGTTCGAGTTTCTTCTCCTTAATTGTCGTGTCAATATTGTTGATGCACCTTGTCCACTACTGCAGAAGCAGAGGGGATAATGCGAAAGAAACTAAGCCGTTTGATCAGACTCAGAAGTTTAGCAGTTCAAAGTTCTCATCAACGAAGCAACGGAAGGAAGGTAGAATGAGTGGAATATATCCAGCTGACAAGCTGAAGTTTGGAAATTAGTAATAAGTTAAAGAGGAAATGTATACGTACAGAAATATATGTCTACAATATTACTTCTCGTGACATAAAAAACATATTTGTTTTGCATTATAGATAGTTCTTGAGTGCCACACATCGAGCTTCTTCCTCAATTTCTTTGTGTATTTTGCTAATAAGGATGACAAGAATCGTAACATTTGGATTGACATCCTTTCTGCTGTTAGACAGCAACAATACTAGAAAAGAGCATTCCAAAGAGTGGCAGCATCTTCACCACATTTGGCATGAACATCCTTGATTCTTTCCACAGATTTACAAATTCCACTGCAGGTCCAGTCGAATGATGCAACGCAGACATTACCTGCTTGTGCTTTCCATTCACATTCTGCGCACAATTTAAGATTCTCGGTGGAATCACGCAAAAAAATTTGAGAGTTACTATGTAAATTTAAATAACAAGAAGGGAAAAAGCAAAGAATATTGCTTACGAGGTGGAGTTCCACAGCACATGTTGCGATCATCAATGTGCTCAACTTCAAGACCGATAAACCATGCTCCAAGCGATACATCTTCATTAGCAAACTTATGCAGAATTGGCCTAAAAATTCACAGTAAGATTAATAGAAGACAATTTCGTTTAGATGGTAAAAAATGAAAAAATGTAGAGAGAAGATGCCTTACTGGTTGATGGAGATGTATTTTGCGAGATCCTTTGAGATAGCGTAGATCTGCCCAGTTGCATGTCGAAAGTATTTATTTCCCTCCTCTCCGAATTTCCAATACTCGGGTTCATGGTATTTAACATTCCTATCGGGAGACAACAGCTTAAAATGAAAACATAACAACTGATATGTGAATGTATATTAGCATATAACCAAAAAATGCTATTGCAAATATGTTTTATGGTCGAGGATTTACTTTTGATGAAGAACTGGCCCAGATTTCATACATCCGATATATATTCTAGGCTTTGAGCGATGGCGAGCAAGAGTTGCAGCCAACGTGCCTGCATTATCATCGATTATCATATATCATAAAATTTTAAGCCACTGCCAGTATAGATCAAGATATGGTAAGAAAAAGGAAAGCAAATGTACCCAAATTTACATGAACATCGTCGTCCACCTTGATGTAAAACTCAGCGTCCCATTTTTCAACTGCAGTGGAAAAGAATGCTTTTGTCTTTGCTGATAACTCGTGATATCCTTCAATATGTTCCTGCAAAATAATGTACTTTAGCATGTTTGGCTAACCTTAAAAGGAAGTCAAATTTACTTTTAAGTATATTTTTATTTCCAAATACGTTTACCCTTTTCCTACTTATAAGTAAAAGTAATTTACTTCGACAACAGGATAGCAGTATAACTTGCTTATTGCCTATTAAACATGCACTTATTAGAAACAACTCGTGAAACAGGTGCAATCAGAGGACATTAAGTCTTTATTTATACTTACAAGCCTAAGAAAGTCGTTATGCTGAGCGTCCTCCGAGTCAATTGCTCGATCTAGAATGCTGTTGGATGTTGCACTGCATCAATAAAATATAAGTCTGATGGCAGATTTCTTGATATATTTTTAAGAACAAGCTACGAGTTAGAAAAATGATAAAACTCTATCTTGTAGTAGCACAAGAGCCCGAAAGATGATAACAGGTTATCACTTGCATTAAGTCTAGTCGGTATTATACAAACTTGATTACCTGTGACCAATCATGAAACGAACAACAATTCCCTTCTCTTGTTCAAGTTGAAGTAAACTTTTGCCTAGTCAAGAAATTCAAAGAGACTTTAAACAAAAGATCAGGAAAAAACATGCCTTAAATAAAATAAAGAAGTAATGCCACCTCGAGGCATCCAGGTTTCTCTAACTGAATCACGCCTCTTCCTACTACTAAATGCAGTGTTTATACCAATAACCATAAATGTCCTTTTCCTCGTCTCAGTACTGTCCAGGTGAACAGCAACAGTACTGAAGTTTTCAAAGTTCCCAATCTTGCGGGAATTCTTTGTTGAAGGCAGCTCCATACGCAGTTTAGCAATTGAAGAGTCCAATGATCTGACATTCCTCCTAGGAATTACATAACTTTAGCAAATTATAAGTTCTTAAAATGTGATTACAATTAGAACACTTAAAGAAATAGTGTAGTTTTCCATTTTGTTTTCTACATATGTAATGCAGTGTACTTACTCGATTGCCTCATGGGCTTTGCTAAACTCTCCAATCAGTTCCCTCTTATCCTGAAATAGATTCAATAACAACTAAGCCTGGTTCTAAATGTATTTGGGTCAACTGCTTGAATTTCGATAATACTCAAAAGAAATATGAAAATGAATAATGCTAATTTGCTAGAAAGTCGGCGACATAATGATTGAGTGTTGGCAATATGTTATTGGTTGAAAAAGTTGATTATTTTTATAATAGTCCAATGTCAGATTATATCGAGGCATTTTGTCAAATATTATGTCAATCATCATGTCTACGTAGCATGATGGTATGGAAATAGGTAAGCATACATGTATAAATCAAAGTATCGGAAAATCTACGTAATATGCATAAACCAATTGGATTTTAATTGAAAAAAGAACAGAATATGAAGAAAGAAAACCTTGTCTGTTGCACAGTCATGAGATATAGCAGCCAAATCTCCTGGTCGTCGTCCTAAGGGCATGATTTGATCCTCTGATTTGGGAAAAACCCATATTCTATAAATCAGAAAATCCAAAACTTCAATACAAATTCATAAATAAAATTATTTTTCTTTAAAACCCATCAAAGTTCATAAATACTACAGAAAACAACAGCAAAACCAGACTCGTTTGCATGGATTTCAATTCATGAATCATTAATATTGTGAAATACGAGGAAAAAAACACAGGATAAATCAAAATTTTGAAGACTAAGGTGATAAACCTATTGCTGAAAAGCATGCCAAGTGCGAAGCTGAAAATGCACAGAATCAGAATCCATTCGAGCGAAACTTTGCCCCTGTTTCTGTTCGTCATCTCACCTAATTTTTCTTGATTGTGCTAAGGGTTATACCATTACACACATACAGTCTTGCAACAATTTTCTTGGTTTTTGAATTTTGAGGTCGACGTTCATCATGGCAGATTTGACGCGCATCTCTTGCTATTTGGAAAATTGGCTAGTTAGGTTAGTTAGTGACAACATGACTTGGCTGCTCTCTCTCTTGCTGTTTGGACAGAAGACTGGTCATGTAATTACATGTTTTGCCATCAAATATGTCAGATTCATAATTATCGAGCTGTTCAACATTTAACGGACTAAAGACATTACATGTTAAACGTGCATTGTTTTCAATCTATTTTTCGTTTTGAAAAACACACAAAACTGCTGTTCGATATTGATCGGACTAAGACATTAAAGGTACATTTTATTTATTGTTTTCTGTTTTCGATTTTGAAAAACACACAAACACTTGTTTAATCTGATATCTTCGAAGATGCATTTCCAATAATACGGTTAAATTTATGATAATAATTCAAAACCATGGTCATTAAAATCGATATGGACCGATCAGAGGTTACACTTATAATATAAGACTCAAAATAATAGTTATTAAAATTGGTTGGACCGAGAATTGAACAATGCTCCAGTCCGATTTGTATTAATTGGTTCATCAGCATATGAAATCGGATAAGAATCGCTCAAATTGGTCCATAGCTGTTTGAACCGACCGGTTCATATGAAATCAAAATCGGTTCAACGTAAATCAAATAGTTACCAAATTGGTTCCAAGCAAAATTTTATACATTTGCAATGGGTAGGATTCAACTTGTGCTCTCAATATGAATTACGAGAAGTTTGGCCACTATGGCAATTAAAGAATCTTAACAATAATTGTGGCGAGAATATATATATATATATATTTTTTTCTTTTTCTTTTTCTTTTAAGAAACTATTTTTTTAAAATTAAATTTGACATTGTAATGACTCAACGGTTGAACTACTGATCCCGCCGATTGAACAACTAACCTGATAACCCAATGATTTGTTTGGGTTAACAACCTGGCCACGTATGTTAACTATGCTCAAAACACAATTTGAAAATTTTGAAAACACTCAAAATATGGGAAATGAGTGTCTAAATAAGATTTTTATTTAAATAAAATTTTAAAAATAAAATATAAAATTCTAAAAAAATATAATTCAAAAAACAAAATTTTTGGAAAGAATAAAATTCTAAAGAAATAAATTCTTAAAAATAAAATTCTAAAAAATATAAAATTCTGTAAAAATAAAATTTTAAACAATTCTAGAAAAGTAAAAATTGTAAAATATAAAAATAAAATAGTCCAATCACTTAATGATTACTTATATAAAAAATTGATAAAAATATATGTAAATGAACATAGATAAAAGTTCTAAATCCATGTTTTCCTATATTTTGACAACTCAGTTTATTGATTGTTTTTATTTTACTTTTGTTATGGGAAAAAATATTGTAAGATTTATCAAATTTAAAAAAAAAAAAATTACTTAGCCCCTGTTTGAGCCCCCTTTTTCCAGATAAAATTCGTTTTAGAATAGTGTTTTATTGGAGATTATAAGTAAGAATTTTTTTTGAATTTATGTGTAACATTATTTTATAGGAGAATGCGTAATTGGAATTGAGTTTTGAAAAATTGAGTTTTTGAAAAATTGGGGGCCAAACATAGGCTTTAAACCCATGTTTGATATCCATCATTTTCAAAATACATATTTTTCTCTCTTCTTTTGAATTACACATTATTCAATAAAATAATATTACACTCAAATCCAAAATTTTTTCTTAATTTTTAATTACACATTCTTTATCAATCTACTATTTCAAAATACATTCATAGACTATAATGGGGTTCAAACAAGCTCTTAATAATATATTGATATAACATTGTTCTATTTTATTGAATGATTAAATTTTATGAAATAAAATGTTATAAAATTATTTCTCGAAATTTTAAACCGGACATGTTCTCTGCCTTTTTATTTTGAGAAATAATTTTCAAAATGACAAATCAAACATATTTTTAGCAATCTTGAAATCAATGTTTGCATATGCTCGGGGCATTTTCGAAATGCTTCGCATATCATGTATGTGCGTGATAAAGCAATCAATTATGTCATTGACCGCATATGCTAGCTTAAACGCTAAAATGCATACATATTTGTGTAAAAAAATTGTGTTCAAATTAGTTTAGTAAAGTTTTATCCATTTTTAAAATTGAATATATATATATATACCCCTAGTCCGTGAATTATGTACATTAAACTATTGGGTTTTGACATTTAGTAAAAATCAAAGCAATTTTTTTCGTGGAGTTGCTAACTATATACGCCAAGTTCGAACTTCCTTCTTTTTCGACCTTCTTCTGGTTTCACTGCTGAGATCTTCATCGAGATGCAGAAGCTTGAAAGTGCATTTTTATTTTTTATTTTTGTATTACTCACTTGATCAAAAGATGATTTTGCATTGGATGACATGAAAGACGATATGGATGAAGAAGAGGAAATTGAATTGGAATCCGATAAGAGCTAGACAAGATTTATGATTTCCTTTAAATTGGTGTTCGTGTCTAATATAATTGTAGGAATTGATTATCAAGTAATTAGTATTTATGATTTTAAGCAATATGTTTTTGCTGAAAATTGAAGAATATGTATAAATTTCAAGTAATTAAAGTATTTATCATTTTGAGCAGTATATGTATGTTAAAAAATTGAAGAATATGTATAAAGTTCGAAGAATGCATTATTTTATTTATTTGTTAGTTTAGAATATTTAAAATAATATTAAAAATTGAAAAAAATAATTACATATGCTTGTAATGCGTGATAATCGATCAAAGTGTATTGTAACATATTACGCATTATAAAACCTTGCTTAATACAGACCATCTAAATTGAAAACTGAAAATGATCTCAAAATTTAAAACAAAAACACAAATCAAACATGCCCTAAATTACTTGTTCAACCGATAAACGTACTAAAAATTTATTATCCTATAATTTTGTTTTGGTTTATATGTACTTTGAACAATTAATATTTAGAAATATGAAAAACTTACGTCATGCTGCTACCATGTATGTATATCTAATCTGGTCGGATAACCATTTAGGTATTCTATGGATTTTAACAACTCATGTCAATTAACATGCAATTGAAAGATTGTGAAATCATGAATAAACCCTATTTTTCGAATGGCATTCATGGCTTTCCCGAAATTCGTTATGAAGAAATTCATTTTTCTTGTTTGCAAGAATGTAAAGATAAAGGAAAAAAAAGTATAATTTAATATATTTTAAGCATTGGACATTATAGATACAAGAATTTACGTGAAAACTCCAACCTTGAAGAAAATCATGGAAGGAAAAAGAAAGAAATTATCTTCTATGCCAAAATTTGTTAGAATCATATGGTTTGTCACATGCTCATGAACCTATATACTAAGAAAAAAACATTCATAATATGCACAAAAAAAGAATATAAAGATCCCTATTCAAGGCATTAAGAGAGTAACCCAACATCTCTTCTCATTTGCCTTATCATGATCCTATATTTATATTTAAGCTTTTATGCTATGCATATATCTGTATAAGATATTTCAATTTTAAGCCAAATCCTTACCAAAATCACAAAAATAATAATAATAATAATAATTTCTTGGAAATTGTATGAGACAACATCACAATGGAGAATGCATTCATTGGGTACAATTTGTAATGCTTGTGGTGTACGAATCAAGTCTAGGAGGTTGGCACTGAAGTACTGTCTTGTGGTGCCAATTTTTTTATGAAACATTCTAATTCTCACCGGAAGATAGTCAAAAAAAGGTTTAGTTTCTTGAATACATATTTTTAATAAATTTGGTGGCATATATTTTAGCTTTTACATTTGGAAATGTAGTCTAGAAAATATAGAATTTGGTCTTTCGTAAGTATGTATTGTATGTTGAAAGTTATGAATTATTTACTAAAATGTGACATATTTGATTTTTTTCCACATTCACATGATATTGATGAATTTTAAACATTCATTAACATTATTTTTGACTCAATAAATTTTATACAATACCAAAAGAACACTTAAAGAAAAAGATATAATCATTTGTATTAAGATTTTCTTAACTATTATTACAATTATACTCTCCCACTAGTTCTTAAGTAAACTTCATGTGAAAAATTATCATCTACTTATACTTTCATCTCATAGAATGAATGATCAAAATTCGTCTTAATCAATGGCTATAATTCACCCTCTGGAATTCTCTACGGAATTTTTACATTAATTACTATGGAGAACGTTGTTTTTTCAAGCTTCCATCATTTCCTACATTACCCTGGATTATTTTAAACTTCTCCCTAAGCTTTAGAGTAGAACTTTACCACGCTATCTTGCAAACGCTGACGGCTTACACTTTCGGCCAACAGTTGCATCTGATTGCGTCTCTGGTGTCCAGCCTTCAATTGTACTTCCTTCTAGTTTACGTCGTGTCCCCCACACAATCAATCTGTGGGTCCCCTCGTGTATTCTCCAATAACCTACATGCCTCTATTCCTTCCTTGCTTGCTTGGTAGTAATGTTGCACATCTCGCTTCTATACTATGCCTAGGAACCCTTGTTGTCTCACTTTTGTCCCAGCCTTCAACCCCTTGTTTTGGCGCTGTATCTCTTAGGTCATCTCCAACACTACACTAAATTTTGCATTAAATTAAAATGCATCTCCAACCATTATGTCAGAATTTACACCAAATGAACAATGTTTAACTATTTTCTTTCCTTTTTTATTCTTAATAATTTATTTATTTAATTATTTTATAAATACATAAATTACTAAATAAATAATTACGTTAAATTAAGAAAAAGATTAAATTCATTAATAAATATAAAAAATATTACAATTAATAAAAACACTACAACAATGAAAATATTAAATCATGTCATTAAAAAATAGTGCAATGCATTTCGAATTAGCAATTCTCGAAATTCGTATCTTTTTTTTTTAAATAAAATTAGATTATTTTATATATGTCGTCGTTTATATTTGTGTTAACTTTAAGAAATAATCGTACTTATTATTTTTAAATTTTTTTCTTTTTTAATTAATTCATTAATTATTATTATTTTCATTTAAAATTTATATTAAATGAAAATAATAAATAATAATAATAATAATTTATTATT